CACTCGATGACATCCAGAAGAATGTGAAGACAACACTCACGAAGACATCACTACTTGTGTCCACACAAACGCAACGATCAATAAATGATTGATAAATAGCACCGAAAATATTGTCTTTTATTTACTAAACAATTTGTGCTAAATATTTTGTTTTGTCGCATAAATTACGGCTCATTATTAATACAGTGTTTTGAGACCCCATTCACTGCTAATGAGTAACAAATGCATTAAAAATTACATTAGAATCTTAACAATATTTTACTTTATTTATAGTCAATACAGAATATATTACAGTTGACTTTAGATAATAGTAAACATGTTTAGTAAAATAAATCATAAAAAACAAACTTAAATTAGTAGAATAAAACAAATTATCTAGATCATAAAATTAGTTTTATTTTAACATTAATGATACTCCAATTCGTGTGCAACTGTTGGCCTATCACTGCATGATTGCACGAAAAACATCATTTAATTAAAGAACTAATAATAAAACATTTTATATAATTTTATTTTAGCAAAGAATTTACAAATAAATATACTGTAGGTACATTTGTAAGTAATTCAAAAGTTTATCATAATAGGTTATTATCGATAACCAGGGTTTAAGTTTATATTGAGTTTTAAATATTAAAAACCTACATGGTTCAATTTTAAATGTTTATTCAATGAAGATTTACAAGGATATGATTTGTCACAATTATTTACACTACAAATAAATGGCTTTATATTTAAATGTTTACAATTCATATGAGCTGTTAATTCACGATTAGTAACAAAACTTTTGTCGCAATCACTTGAAAGGCATTTATATTTGCGAATATTTGTGTGAATTCTTCTTTATTAATTTTAGACGATATACAGGACGTGAGACAATCCGCAAGCATTTATTATCCCAAATATTTGTGTGAATTCTTTTATTATGACTTTTCATGTGTTTGTCGTAATTAGATTGTTGTGTAAAACTTTTATTACAATCATGGAAAATACAGACAAATGGGTTTTCTCCCGAATGGATGCGTTTGTGTTGATTTAGATGTGAACTGCATTTGAAACTTTGGCCACAATTTTTTTCATTACAATTGAATTTACTTTCATTCAAATGAACACAACGTTTGTGTTGAATTAACTTTTGTTTTGATGTAAAATTTTTGTGGCATTCATTATCAAAATCACAAATAAATCTCACATTTAAATGAACACTATTTTTATGTTTAATTAAGTTATATTTCTTTTTATAACTTTTATTACAATTATTAAAATTACATTTAAATTTATTTATTGGTAAATGAATTAATTGATGTAAAGTGAGATTGGCTTTTTGTGTTGCCTTGAATTGACATTTAGGCCAAAAACAGTGAAAATA